TTTCTAATAGGACATTTTAAATTAGACATTTCGAAAAACAGAAGAAACATATTTAGAGAAACAGAAGGAATAATATTTCTCATCCAATCAAATGATAAAATTTATTTCATAAAATATTTTTCTTTCAACGTGATGACTTGTTATGAAGAAAAATATTATGAAAAAAAACAAGTTAGAATGAAATATAGGGGGAGAGGATCAAAACATTTGCATTGGGGGAATCTAAGCACACAAACCATTGAACCAAACCTTCATGTATAATTAAAATTTGGGTAAATTATATCATTGATCATTTAATTATTTAATCATTTTACTTTAATCATCAATCTTTCAATTTTGTTAATCAAATTATCTAACTATTTAATTGTTCTCAATCAAGTCATTAATCGTTAATCATTTTACTTTAATCATCAATCTTTCAATTTTGTTAATCAGATTATTAAACTATTTAATTGTTCTCAATCAAGTCATTAATTGTTAATTGTTGACGGAAATACTGAGTTGGAAGTTAAAAAATTGGCATAATTATACAATTAGTCCTTAATATCTATATATTCTATAAATTTTGTCTTAATTTAATAAATAATCATTCAATCAGGATTTAACATGTGTCAACATACCATACCATATGACATGTGTCGTTAGCTACATTAGCATCCGAGAAAAAACAATTTACAAAGAAAGTTAAATGAAAGTGTTTGGGTGGACTTGAACTTAGGCCACAAAGATGGATGACACAAACCCTAAGCAATAAGCAATTCTCACCATTTATATCAAATAATTTATATATATATATATATATATATATATATATATATTATACTTAATGCCACCTATTTTAAATTAAATTTAATATTTCTTTTTTACATTTATAATTTAATATTATATATATATATATATATATATATATATATATTTAACTTTTAATTTAATTAATAATTTTATATTTTATTAAATATAAAATGGATTGTTACACCCAAATTTCTAAGGTAAAATATATTTAATTTATTTAAAATATTTAATTTAATTAAGGGACCAAATTGGATAATTCTAACAAAATTTGGGCCAAGTTTGAATATCTTTGTAATTTTCCCATAACTCTCCTAACATTAAAAATAAAAAACTAGTGGATGAGGGGACTTAAACTTATAACCCTAGGGTCATGGGTGCTCATGCCCTAGCCACTATAATTCGGTTGGGTTAGAACCCATTTCCCTTAACCAAAACACCCCCCAATTCATGAAACAAGTTCCCAGAACCCCCCGATCAAGTTTTCTCGCCGCCGTCCTCCATCGACCAACCTTGCTTCTGCCGGTAGTGCAGGTCACCACCACCTCCAATCGAAGCACCAGGTCACCGCAACGAAACCCCAGCCAACCACCGACGCTAAACGATCATCATTTATCGTGGAAGGGCATTTAAAGCTCCATCAAAACCCCTCATCAGCCTCAGTTAAACATGTTTTTTGGCCGAATATGAAATTGTGGCACCTCACCACCACCACAGCCGAACTCTTCATCGTCGTGCACCCAAAACTTGATTGGGTTCGTCGTCCACCATCATTGTTCTCGTTATCTGTCGTGGGTAAGTTTCTAAACGCTTTTAATCAATTTTTGTGGTGGTTTTTGGTTGATTAGTGGCTTAAATGGTGTTGTAATGTTGATTGGAAGATCGTGGAGCAATCAGTTGATCACCCCGACCCCGTTACCGTAGCCACGTGCCACCACGTACGCGTTGGGCTCTCTTTCAGCCATGGAAGTCTTCTAGAAACGATCCATATGGACCAAACTGGCCCATCCCAGTCTAGACCGGGTTTGTTTGACCCAATCGTGTCAACCCAAATCAGTTTGACCCATTGACCTTGACCCGAACCGTTGACTTTGACCTTCCCGTTAACCTTGCCTTTGATCTACGACCTGCCCGTTGACTTTGACTTTATGAGTCTAAATTCGAAGTTAGTTTTGCCAAATTTGAACTCGGTAAGTTGTTTTTCGATATTTAATATTATGATTCAATACGAATATTCACCTTTAAGTTTTGTTTCTAATGTAATTGGTTTTGCCATGTATCCGAGACATTATGGAACGTGGAATTTAAGTTCGAGGATGATCAAATGGAGTTTAATTGGTTAACCGATGTGGCTCAAAAATTGATGTAATACATTACTACCTTAGGTATACTTTATGGAACATGTTGGTATTAGTTAATGCATGGATGAATATGTTTGGTTAAATGTCTGTAGTTAATATTTCTAAACTCGATCTGAATGCGATGTAAAGTAATTAAACTGAATAAGACTCAAATTACGAGTATAAGATACTAGAAACTGATAAGAAATAATTTCAGGTTCAGTGATTAACTGATAATGCAATCGACCTCAGAATATTTAAATTGTAATTATTCTCGTTAAAGGTTTTAATACCGAAATCACCTGGTTAAGAAATTACAAATTACCCCTATGAGGTAAAAATGGTCCGAACTGACCCTGATAGTGAAAGTACCATAAGAATTTGTATTTAATCCGATAAACTACTGATTCACCTGTTAAATTATTGATCTGTTTGAAAAGTCACTGACAATTATATCTTAACATCTGAGAAGGTACAAGACCTAAAATTAGTGATTTATCAACAAACACCTAAAGCATAAAAACATAAAAAAACTACTACTTATGTTTGAACTGTTTGGAGAAATTGAATTAAATAGAAAGACTAGACTGAAGGAAATGACATAAATACCCTTGAACCGTAAAATAACCAAAATACCCCTGAAGTGTAAAATAACCTAAAATACCTTCAAGCCCTGGAATGACTAAATACACTCAAGCTCTGAAATGAATAAATCAACCTCGATACCAAAATGACCTAAATACACTCATGACTTGGATTGAGCAAATGCCTTGGATAACTTCTAAAGATACCGGTGAAGCTTTAAATGCGGTAACACCCTTGAGGTTTATAAAGTATGACCTAAGTTGGTTGATCATCCCTAATATTGTTACAATATGAGAAGTAATTAAATACCGCTTAAACACCTGTTTGTATCCTCATGATCAACCTAAAGATGGTTTTGAAGGTGATCAGTTCAGTTCTACACTGCAGTCAATTTTAAGAAATAAACATTCGTGAAGTTTTCTCTACCTAAATACTTGATAAGTATTGCCTTTGCTGGGATTTATACAATGTGATTGGAATTGGAAATCTGTTAAGATGCTAGAAAAATGGAATTCTATAAATCGGTGCATAGCCTTATTAAACTGATTTATAAAATTTTTCAGGAATCAAATAACTAAAATGCCCTTATAATCCTGATTGAGAGAAGAACTTGAGGAATGTCTAAATCCTAAATAATTTTGATACAACAATTCCTAAATACCTTGTTGATATATCTTAATACCATGATCTTGATAAATCACTTCCTGAATGACTAATGAATATGCTAGCTATCAAGCCCCTTTTTATAAGGATTCATTTATAAAATTCAATCAGTTTGTAGAAATTTTGTGGCTCCCTACCTGATAAATACTAAGCACCTCCGGAAAATAACTAGATTCTCTAGTGTGTTCCTTATGTTCCATATAATTGTTATACATGTTTTAAAATGTAATTTTCTAAAAGTACGAATTTACTGATGTATTGATTTATTGTTTATGAACTATGGCTACATGATATGTATTCTTTGGTTACCTGTTTTCATTGGAAAATATAATCGTTCATGATTTATGGATCATGGAATCTACTGTTTACTATATAAACCATTATTGAGATACTGTATGAGTAGGATTTTGGAGTATGTAGGTTCAACTCTGATCAAGCTAGTAAAAACTCATGCAGGTTCAACACTGATCAAGCTAATAATTCTTTATGGACCTAAGGCAACCCTTGGGTGGGCTCCTGGGCCCAATGGTCTTAGTGGTAAGACCTTATGGACCCTAATGTACTCTCTTAGGGTGGCTCATTTGTTGTGTGGATTGGGTAAGTCCTTATGGGCCTGAGTGCACACCCCTCAGGTGGGCACCTACGTTTTGGCTAGGGTAAGACCTTATGGACCCAATGTCCTCCCTTAGGTTGGCACCTATGCCCAATGGGCCTAGTGTAAGTCCTTATGGATGCAGTTCTGGGAACTACATATTGATGTTCGGTTAAGGGTATTATTGTGGTTTTAAATTTTGTTTTAAACTACTAATGTTTTTAAAGTATTTGTGCACATTTCTCTGTTTTGTTGGAACACACTAGAGTCCCTAATTCAATCTTCTGAATCTATCTCTCTCTAAATACTTCCTTCAGACCATAAATTCCAGTTTGTGACTGAATACTTAGTTAATGGAATCTAAATTTACCGCTAGAATCTAATGATGATTGTCCTACTAAGGAATTTATGCTTTACCTTATACCCGATAGTCTATTGCATTCATCTGGTAGTTATGTATTACCGAGCTTCCCAAATCTCACTATTTACTCACCATTTCAGGTTAAAAGAATCGATCCAGTGCATCTATCAACTTCAGTTTTGGGAGTTTTTTCGGCTTTGCTTGCAGAGTATGATACAATGTGTAATCAGGGGGCATGTAGGTCACATTTGATTTTTTTATATATAAATACTGAGTCTGAAACTTGTATGATTCTAATTCTGTTTGTAATATATGAATTGTTTTCTGAACTTGTATTTTATATATAAATTGTTTTATGATTTTACACGTTTTAACAAAAAAAATTATTTTTTCATGGATTTTGATTGTGGGTCGCTATGGTGACCCTAATGTGCTCGGATCAGATCATATCACTCACATCATTATGAGGGTGTTAAATAGATAGAAAATATAAATAATTGAATTTATATTTTCTGTATATTTTATTTTTCTTGTATAAATTAGTATTTCAAATTTATTTATATATTAATAAAAATATTTAAATGTATGAATAAAAGTATATTTATATAAAAGTATTTTTATATTTAAATGTACAAATAAAAATACATTTATATATTTAAATATATGAAACATCTATATTTTTTGTAAATTTTATTTTTAATAACAAATAATATTATTAATTATATTAAAAAGACTCTATTTAAGATTATATATAATCATTAAATTACACATGTGATAATAGAAATATTAAATTTCGTTTAAAAATATACAAATTTTAAATTTATTTTTTTAATCTTAAATCAACTAATATTTAAAAATATATAAAATATATCCAACTATTATCCAAATATAAAATTTTCTTCAATTGTTAAGTACTTTTAAATTTTTTATTTGGCTGATGTTCGAATCTCATCATTTTCATTTTTCTTTCCTTTTTCTTTTTTCTGAAATTAATTATAGTATCAATATATATTATTGTGTTCCGTCCCTGTGACCCATGTTTGAATTTTCTTAAACTCTTAACTTTATATTTGTAAATTATTTTTCCTACAATCGTGTGGTGATATGTTTCATTGTTGGATTGGATAAAAATTTATTTAATTAAATAAATTAAAATTTATAAAAAAAAAGCTTTCAAATAAGGTAGTAACATGTGCCTCTAATATGTTTCATGATCATGTGTAATGTGTTGACACATGTTTGATCATGACTGAATGATTAATTTATTAAATTAAATTTAAATTAGGATCAAATTGATAGAATATAAAAATATTAAGGATTAGATGTATAATTATGCTAATTTTTTAACTATCATGTCAGTATAATTGTTAATTGGTAATGACTTGACTGAGAACAATTAAATATTTAGGTAGTCTGATTGACAAAATTAAAAGATCGATGATTAAAATAAAAGGACTAAATAGTTAAGTGGTTAATGATATAATTTACTTTGAAATTTTGAAAGCATTGAATGATACTAAGTCTCAGTCTGAGGATGTTAATGGAAAAATAATTGAGGTCACACATAGGATTGAGAATTTCTCCAACATTAAATATCATAAGTTCAACTTTGAAAATTTTATTATTTATGAATGATGGCAGCAAATGAGGTATTTTGATCTAAAAATACCCTAAAAATAAAAAATATATATTTATTTGATATCTTTTCCCCAATATTTACCGGAGTAGCACCCTTTCTAACAATAAGAGGGATAGGCGTGTTTCACGAAATGCACCATGTTGATGTGGAGGGAAGTCACGTTGTATGGGCACGCCTTCCATGGGGTTTTGCTCTATTGACGCCATGGAAGAAGACTCATTTCAGGGGACACCTTTGAATTAAACCATTGATTTAGGGTTTTTGGGTTAAAGTGGTTTAGGGTTAAGGTTTTTTAATGTTAAAATGGTTAGTTTTTTTAGAGTAAAATGGTCTAAAAATGGTTTTGGGTTTTTTTTGTTTAAATGAATTAGGATTATATTAGAACTAAAATCTTGATCGTAAGAAATAAACCCTAAGTATATATAAATATGTGTCAGGTGAAAGTTATTTTAGTCAGTTGAAATAAAAAATATAAAAAAATTAAGTCTTTCACTTCCAAAGTTTGAGTTTTTTGCTAACATATAAACCATTCTTGCAACGGTTTATTATGATTGCAAATCTTTAAGCATATCTTTTAAAGCAATATTCAACTTGACGAGTTGAAGTTGATAATAGAAAGAAAGGTTCAACTCGGAAGCAATAGAAGAATATATGTATTATATTATAAATTGCCACTATCATGCACAAGGTTTCATCTAAGTGATGATATCGATCTTGCTGGTATGATTGAGACATACTATTATCATTCTATATCCGATTTGTTTGTAGAGTTTGCAGATCTCGACCTTGTTCATATGGTTGAGGATATTGCTTCTAGCTTGAGTATCCCACCAACTAAGAAAAATGATGAAGAAACAGAGGTAGATGATGGAGACCCGAAACCATGGTTCCAATTTATATGTGAATGACAACAAGAAAAAACATTGATAATTGAAGAACTTAATATTACTTATGGTGAGTCTACTGATTATGAGTATTAAAACATAATAAAGAATAGTGGTATGTGTATGTCCTTAATGTAATGTGTTAAGTTTGTTGTTTTTATGTACTTAATATAATATTTATAGTTTGTTGTTTTTATGTCCTAAATGTAATGTTTATGGTTAAATTTATTACAATCTCAACTTTAATTTAAGTAGTCCTACTAAGAATAAAACCTATTACAATATTACTTTCATGATTCTAGAAACAATAAAAGCAACATTTAGACATGTCATCACATGAGCAAAATGTTTCTGGAATCCTTTCAATGTACGAAACTAACATAATTTGAGAGATAGAAGAGATAGTGATGTTTCTATAATGCAAAAGCTCTTTTTTGCTTCATCATTAGATGTATTAGGTGAAGAGTGTATAACACTTGATATTCTTCTTTCAACTGTCCTTTTATGTGAAGCAATGGTATACCTAATACATAAGTTGCTTCAATGACACCCATTGTAGAGGCTCGCTTTAAAATATTACAACCAACTTCAACATTGGACAACCAACCGTATTTTTTGAAATATAAGCCTTTTGTAAGAGCATTCATTCAGAACAATCCAAAGATCTCAAAGCATAACTATAAAGTCGAACATTTGTAAATATAAATCTATAATTTGAAGCTAAGCAAAATTCTCAGCAAGTTAAATGAAGGTTCAGAAAATCCTCAATAGAATTAGCAGCAACGCAATGTAAAATCTCAACTATTATATTATTTCAGAGATAAGATAATGATTATTTAACTGCCATTGAACTACGTGGGAGTTGTTTTTCGTAGATTAGAATGAAAAGGATAGATATGAAGTTGAAAATTATTGAGGACCACTTGATAACCTTCATATATATAGTTAGTTCCTCGAAAAGGAACATGATATATCTACATACAATTGAAGTACTTCTCAAGAAGGAAAGACTTGTTTTATGAAAAGGAACACGATATATCTACCATATAAATCTAACAAAAAAGAAAGGCTCGTTCCACAAGAAGCGTTTTTTACTTTTCTAGAGAATTTCTACCATGTCATGTGTCTTATCCCATCAAACATAAGGCATGATTGACATGAATAGTGCCCCAACTAAGAACATCATATTTTCATATAATTGATTGAAGTATGTAGATAAATCTAACAAAAAAGAAAGGCTCGTTGCACAAGAAAAACTTTTGCCATTTTTAGAAAATCTCTTCCATGTCATAATGTTTTATCCCACCAAACATAAATGAGATTAACGTGAGTAGTGCCTCAAATGGGAACATTATATCTACATATAATTGACTGAAATATGCAAATAAATCTGGCTAAAAGGAAAGGCTCCTTCCACAATAAGCGTTTTTTCTTTTTCAGAGAATCTCTGTCATATCATAGTGTCTTATCCCATCAAACATAATGCATGATTGACATAAATAGTGCCCTGACTAGGAACATCATATTTGCATCTATTCATTTTAATACTCCAAAACTCATACTCTCAAACTACCAAACTTTTATTCTCTGAAACTCTTAAAATCTAACATTCTCAAACTTTTAAACTCTCAAAATGGGTCACATTTTTGTTGTTGTTTATTATGATGACAAAATTTGACAATCTGAAAAGGGAGTTGTTTTTGAATCAGATCATTATATCCCCTTAACCTTCAAGAGAAACATCAATCTTGAGGAGTTAATCACAAAAAGTTCCTTAAAAGTTCATGTTGGAAGTACCAGAAGACTATCTTTACTTCAATACAGATTTCCTACTGAACTTATTCCATTGACATATACAAGATTTGATCTCCTTGAAGATGATGATGTTTCCATGATGGTTGAAGATCAGATGGAAAATTCACAAGTTATTATAGAAATATATGCCACATTTGTTAAGGTTTGTGAAGTTCGTGTTATATTATTATGCTCTCATTATGGGTTAGTTGATCAAGTTGACAGCCCAGCTCAAATAATTTATAATGATTTCACATCATTAATGGAAAATCTACCTCGTGGTGGCATGCCATCAAGTTCAATGGGGATGCATTTATCAACAACTTCTTACGATCTCTATTGAGACTCCATGAACAATCTATATCGTAATATCCCGTCTAATTCATCTTACAACATGCTACCCATTTGGTTTAAAGTAATGGAAAGACTGAATCCTAAGAAAATAGTTGAGTTCAAAACGCGCCATGTATATGAAAATGATAAAGTGCTTCGAGATCGATGTCACTCTACCGCGTTCTTTGGACTTACCCACAGTGCATTAATGTGGTGAAATATTGTAAACTCGAGGTCCAAATTGATGTAACATTCTTGTATGGAAAATACAAGCAAGTTTTATTATTGGCAGTTGTCCAAGAGAGTAATTGTAACATTCTTCTTGTGGTTTTTGCCCTTGTTGAAGGATAAGATACATAGTTAGGCTTTTTTCCTGAAAAATCTACGGTTACATGTTATCACCAGGGAATACATTTGCATAATTTTAGACTATAATCTAGGATCAAAGTAACAATGGACTCTTTGGGTCTAATGTGGAAATCCCCATATGTCCAACATCGTCTCTGTATCCAACATACTACTGCAAACTATCATGGAAAATATAAGAAGAATGATGAATGTCAATTAATTATACGCTTGAGTATGTTACTTTTTTTTCAAAATTGTTTCTCAATCATTTTCATTTTATTTATGTCTAGATCACACTAACTAGTACATATGGCTTAGGTTACAAACTCTTACCTCAAAGGCTTGAGTTTATGCTTCAAGAGTTGTAAGGAAAAAAAGAGGAATGATACAATTACATCAGAGCCATCAACAAAGAAATAAGGACAAGTGCATATGATGGTGGATATTGATATGGACATATGACAACCAACTTAACTGAGACTATCAAATCAACCTTAAAGGGGGAGCATCATTTACCAGTAACTGCTTTAGTTAAAAGCACATATTTTTGTTTGGGCAAGCTTTTTCAAGCTCGGGGGACAAACTCTTACTTGGATGAAAAACAACCATGTTTATCACCCAAGATTAGTAACATATCTACAGAAAAATGTTGCAGCAACAAATGGAATGTTGTTAACAAATTTTCTCGCACCCAAAAATTATTTCGTATCACAGAAATGCAACGACCTATTCTAGGGATTGAATCTAACTCTTTGAGAGTTAATCTACAAAAAATGTGGTATTACTATAGAATTTTTTAAGCACTGAAGTATTTATGCTCCCATGTCATAACAACTTACTCACATTCCCATTTGGACTATAAAAATTAGTCTTAAATATACAAAAGGTGATCAACCTTTATCCTTTTTTCCAGTTTAGTGCCTAACGTTTATTTCTTTCACTTTGGTGCCTAGCGTTTCATTTCGTAACTCAAAATGAGTCTAGCCATGACGGACTATTAAGTTTGGTCGTTAACCCATTAAAAATGTCATCTGTCATATTTTTAGGGTAAAATGTATAAATAGTCCCCAAACTTTTGGGGCGCTTGCATTTTGGTCACCCCGTTAACTTCTCCTCCTCCTCCTCCTCCTCCTCCTCCTCCTCCTCCTCCTCCTCATCATCATCATCATCATCATCATCATCATCATCATCATCATCATCATCATCATCATCATCATCATCATCATCATCATCATCATCATCATCATCATTATTTTAACCCCTTCTATTTTAAGCCCCATGGCTATTTCAACTAGTAGATACATTCTGCCATATAAAGGGAAGTTTGACAATTTGTATATTGAAAACATTGAAGAACGACATTCCAACTCTCTCTATTTCTCAAGAGAAATGGGTGAATTTGGATTTCTTCGTTGATTTTCATTTAGGTAAATTGATTTCCGTTCAATTTCATGAACTCATTCTTCTCTCTTTGTTTACTTTAGTGTTTTAATGCAATTGAATTCGAATCATCGGTCTTGGAAGTTCAACAATTCCCATTTTCCAATTGTGGGTCTTTTCTTTGTTCTTGTTCTTTCTCAGATTCCTTTTGGTTTTCCCCAGAAAAGGGAAATAAATATTGGGTTTTTCATAAACTTACCAGATTCAAGCTTGGGTTTTTCTTTATTTTGGGTAAAGAAAAGAATCTGGGTTACTGAATTAACCATGGGAATATTATATTTACTTCAATGTAGAGCAATTCATTACCCTTATTTGAGCAATTCATTACTCTTGTTTGCACATTTTGAAACTCCAGTGCTATAAGCTTTCCATTAATATAATCCATTTTAAGTTTCAAAAATGCGGAATCTAAACTCTAAACGTGACTTTGTCATAACAAATCATGCATACAAGTGTTTTTGTAGAAATATTGCAAAACATAAGCACATATTAAGCTAATGTATATAAGTTGTTTAATTGCTTTCTAATAAAGTAATTTGGTGGATCTGTCTTTATATGATTTACGATTAAAACTACTCCATAAGACATCAATTCCATTAAAAATTATTACAAAAATTTATATAATTCAATAATGGAAATGTTATTAACACTAATTAAAGAGAAGAAAAACATGAGAAATGGTTAGTATCATGTCCTATATATAGGTTGAAATCTCTCAGCAATACATTTTTCCACTTTTTAAATCTCATTTTATTTTATTAATCTTTGATTAATTACATCAAACAATGAGGATGTTTCGACAGAATCTGTTGGCACAACTCCAATGGGAAACTGAAGACGCCAAAGCATGATTTTCGAGCACTCTTCTGCTGAGATACCCTTCAACTTTGTCTCACCTTCTACCACTATTGGTTTCACAAATTTGAGTGAATTCTGAACCCAAAACAAATAAAAAAAATTGTTTAAGTTAGATGGAACTAACCCTTTACCTAGTATCTGTCAAAAGTATGCAATTTTCCGCTGATTTTTTTTATAAATATAAAGGGTAGTTAATCTAACCTCTACTGAAACTGACAGTTTGGAACATATGAATAGTTAGGTGATAATTTTGTAAATTTTAATAGTTAATGAACTTAACAAAGTAACATCCTATAGTTGGAGGTGTCATAACCGTCCTTCTGGTGGGCCCAAAATCGAATTTCGACTTAAATTTAATGTGTTAGAGCCGCCACCGATCATTTAAAATTAGATTGACCAGATACCTTAACTTACCGTTTACTTGATCTGCGTTTTACCATAAATTAATCGGATTTGGGAGTCGATTACAGTCAAGGAAGGATTAACACCCTTGTAATTCACTTTCGGTACCAATTTAATTTATCGGTTGTCTTAATTGTGAAAATTAAAAATTAAAATTTAAAATATTCGATCTGAATTACTTACCTTTGGTGAACTCTGGAATAACTTCAAAAAAAGGAAATTAAAGTTAAACAATAGCGACAAGATTAAATTTTAAAAAATACAAAATAAAAATTAAAAATAATAAAATAAAAGTAAAAGTAAAAAACCTAAAATAAAAGAACATAAAATATTTACAACGATTAGATACAAATAAATTGATATTTACGGGTCAAATTGACACTAAAAGTGAGCTGCAAGGAAAAGTATAAGGTTAGGGAACCAAATAGCAAAAAATAGAGAAGTATTAATTGGGATTAAGTTGAAATAATTCAAAATTCCAAGGCCAATTTGCAACAGGTTACCAAAACGAATTACACTTCAAACTACCAGGGACTGTGGAAATAATTTAAATATTTGATATTTGCACTTTAGTCCTCCATATATATAACCCCTGAAACCCAAAATTATTTCATTTTTCACTCATCCTCAAAAACCAACTCTCAAATCCTCTCTCCAATGCTCTCCCCTCTCTCCTCAACCGGCCCAATGACCGGTGAACAACTGGTGACCTATCGCCGCTCTGGCCACTACCACTGATGGCTAGAAAAATGCCAACTAGCATAAAATATTCCCATCGACGTCTCGAGCCCTGAATTGAGGTCCGATTTTTCCAAAAAGCATCCCATCGGCGGAGATCTAAATCCAAAGATTCGATTTTTACCTTTAGTCCGATGTCTTTTCGAGTTCCCAGCGGCTTTACTTTCCAAACGAGATCCCCAATGCGCTCACGGTGTCCTTTGTGGAAATAAAGTTTTTAAACTTTACTTTTTTTGCTTCTAATTTCGAATATTTTGTGCTTGGTTTCCGGATACTTGTTGTTTACTATTTTTTGGTATTCTTCTTTGATGACTTTTTGTGGTTTTTGTTTTGTTGTTTTTTCTTTTTCCTCCATTCCCTATTGATGACTCTCAACATGGTATTTATACAGCCCCCCGACGGGGTTATTCCTGATCATCTTGGGGATCATTTTTCGTTACCTGATTCGTGTGAGTTGTTGCGATCCCCTTTTTGACAGGATTTTGTGTATCTTGGGATGTATTCATGTTGTTACTAGAAAATAGGGGCGTTCCCTTTAGATTTTACCCTGGATCTATCACGATTTGGCCAGTTCCACGCCGACGTGTGATCCTTACGCGCCATTCAAACCACCTCCTGTGAGGCGCTTGCACTAAATGTTGGAAACCCTAGCCCCTACTGGGTCAGGCAGATGGGCTTGGGTTATTGGGCTGGATCAGGTCTTCCATTCCTAACCGGGCCTGCTTTGCTGGGTTAGGCTGGCATGGCTCGGTTGGGCTTCCTTGCTGGACTGGATTTGGACTCTTTGTACCTGAAAAATGAAAAAATATAAAAATAAAAATAATAATAATAATAAGCTTAATATATATATATATATATATTAAAAAAACTATATAATATATTATATTTTCAAAATCATATAATATGTTTTCAATATATATATATATATTACATTTTACTTTTTATTTTAAAAAAACTATATAATATATTATATTTTCAAAAAAATATATATTATATGTTTTTTTTAAAATTATATAATATGTTTTCAAAAACTATACTATATGTTTTTAGAAATTATACTATATATTTTCAAAAACCATATATTATTTTTTGACAAAACTATATATTATATATTATCATATATTCTATTTACTATAAATATACAAAAATCATAACGTCTTGGACAAAAATGAGTGTCCACAGCTGCCTCTCTTTGCCCATTTATTGTTTAATAAGAAATAGGGCAAAGATAGAAGGAAACAAATTTTTGTTCGGTAGGAATGTATTTTAGGAACGAATTTTCTCCTGTGAATCTAATATCTAAAATTCGACTTAATGTTCTAGTCGACTTTCTTATCGAATATCCTCCTTCGCGGAGTTGAAATTCGACTCGAAAACTCTGATAGGAAAATGCTCCATATTGTTGAGCTGAATTACGGATGACTCTTTCGTAGTGAAGTTGAGTCAATCTTGAATGACTTTGAACATGATATCCTTCGCCATGAAGTTGAAATCTTGGTTGATTTGAGTATGATATTCTTCATCATGAAGTTGAAATCCTACTCGAAATCTGAACTGGAAAATAGCTCCTCGTTGTTGGGTTAAGCTATGTAGTAGATGACTCCTTTGCCATGAATTTGAGTCAATATATTGTGCAAGATATCCTTCATCATGAAGTTGAATTCTTAGGTGACTCATTCGTCGTGAAGTTTAGTCAATCTATTGGGCATGATATAATTCATCGTGAAGTTGAAATCGTTGGTGACTCATTCATCGTAAAGTTGAGTCTAGATTGAATGTTTTTTCAAAGCCAGATATCCTTCGTTGTGAAGTTGAAATCCAACTTGGATAACCTGTATCATTCTTAATCTTGAGTGTTCTTCGAGTTCAATATCATTCGTTGCAAATTTGAAATTGAAACTGACAAAAATATGCAAAATTATGCATGTGTGCAATGCTATGGATGTAGTGTTCTTATGTATGCCTAAAATGCGTATGTGTAATATGTTCTTTTAGGATTTTTAGAGAGAAATCTCAATCTCTTGATGTTAGTCTTGATTTTTATGACGTTTCTTGATTCTTGCTGATTCTGGTTTCCTGATTCTTGGTTCTTGATTATCTAGCCCTTAATGGATTTTGATCTGATATCCTCTCTAGGACTTTTGTTTCAGAAAGAAGTCAATTTTCTTCTTTTAATTTTGATTCTTGATGTCTTTTGATCTTTAGTCAATGTCTTTCCTTTTTCTTGGTAGGTTGTGAACTAATACCCATGTCATTCTTTCGAGTATTGTGCAAGAACCCCTATCAGCTTCCAAACACCTGTACTTTTTAGGAAATCTTTGTGCAGTAATATGCAATGATCTTTTTCAAAGTGAATAAATTGCTTTTATTTAAATTCAATGCAAGATGCTAAGAAGTTGACTTTCCTTAGAAATATAGGCATATTTATTTATATGGAGAAATAAAATACATGGAAAACATTACGAAAAGCGAAAAATATTTGAAAATACAAATAAGTGCCCTAGATTTTGATAATGTTGACGCCTTTAAACTGGCACGCCGTTAGATGACTTTGAGTGTAGTCTTTCTCTAATGGACTTCAAAGATTGTGACAATGTTTGGAAGAGTGCGAAGTTCCTCCCAAATTATTAAGTCTCCGAAGACTTGGATTTCGTGATGCTTTATTTCCTTGATCAGGGACCCTTCCATGCGCGAACCTCATATCCAAGCCGCCCTTTTGGGTTTTTAGCTTGGATCATCCCTTGGTTTCCAGACACCCTTTGTGGGTTTTCATCTTGGATCCACCTTTTATTTTTTATTTTATGTTTTTCTTTTTTTCAATTTAGAGCGTCCTTTCGGGTTTTCACTCTAAACGTTTTTTTACTTCAACTTAGGGTGCCCTTTTGGGTTTTCACCCTAAGTAAAATATTTCTTGACTGTGTCAAAGTTAACAGGATTGGGAAGTTTTGGCCCGTCTATTTCAGTCAAGATTAGTGATCCTCCGAAGAAGACCTTTTTCACGGCATAAGGTCACTCCCAATTCGATATCCATTTTCCTCTGTAATTTTTTTTTTGGATTGGTCAAATCTTTTTTAGCACTAGATCTCCTTCATGGAATACTCTTGGGTGCACCTTCTTGTTATGTGCTCGAATTATTCCCTTTTGGTAGATTCTGTAATGATAAATGGATTTCAACCTCTTATCCTCTATTAAGTTTAGTTGATCATATCGAGTTTGCACTCATTATGCATCATCTAACTTAACTTCTGAAAAAACACAGAGTGACGGGATTTCTACCTCAGTGGGTAACACATCCTCCATCCTATATGCTAATAAAAATGGTGTTTCCCCAATCGCATACTGCACTGAAGTTCGATAAGAAAACAAGGCAAAAATAACTTCTTTTGCTAGTCTTTGTACGTCTTAGTAATTTTACCACTATTTTCTTGATATTTTTGTTTGCTGCCTCTACTGCTCTATTCATCTTTGGTTGATAAGCAGTTGAGTTGTGATGCTTTATGTTGAATTGTTCACATGCAGCATCCATCATATTATTGTTTAAATTGGTTGTATTATCGGTAATGATCATTTATGGTAAACCATACCGACATATGATCTCTTTTTTCAAGAATTTTAAAAAGTGGACTGAGTGACACTAGCACACGATGCATCCTCCACCCATTTTGTAAAGTAATCAATTTCCACAAGGATAAACCGATGACCATTTGAAGCTTTTGGATGTATTTGTCTGATAACATCTATGCCCCATATAGAAAAAGGCTATAGAGTCGCCACCAATTGAAGAAGACTAGGCGGGACATTTATTTCATGTCCGTAGATTTGGTATTTGTGACATTGTCGGGCATAATTTATGCAGACACTCTCTAATGCGGACAAAAAGTATATGCATCTCATAAATTATCTTTCCATTATATTCCCATTTGCATGAGTTTCACATACTC